CATGCTCCTTCTCGAACCCAATTTAAAGCACTATTAGACATTTATTTATGCGAATCCTCGCGCTGGCTTGCATGCTGCCCCGCGCTGAGAACATAAAGAGCAGTGCTACACCCTTTTTTCACTTGTGCCTTTCAGGTGAACGACAGCCACTGACCGACAAGAACAAAACCGACCCGGGAAACTTGGGCAAAAGCCTCGATCCTGTGTATCAATCCGTGAATCCGTGAAAAAACATGCCGATTGGGGCATAATAGGGTAAAGCTGTACACCTTACCAATCATAGGTGGCATGGTTACCGGACAAATGGTTATGGACGTCAAAGCGAAAGCGACCAGTTAGCTTCTGTGTTTAGGCTTTTGGATTGTTCAAGGACATGTTGGGTGAACACTACCAAGTGAAGACGTTTGTCATTGCCAAAATAATGTTATAATGCGGGCAACCGTGTTCGCCTGTGAATTCATGTTGAGCAATTTCCATATTTGCATAGGGGTCAGAACGCACCTATGTGTCATATGAGATCCGTGTGTTTTTGTCGTAGACACTTTGAGCAGCGGACGCCTTCCATTGCATGACCCACCCAGATAATGCCATACACTTGTTTTTTTCAACATAATACTAGCAAGTACATTTGTCTAGATCTGTTTATTACTCTACAGCTCGAAGTATGCATATGGCTTGCAAGTGTGTGGAGCACGTTCAATCCGAGATCTCCCGTTTTGGAACTGTGTGCAATAACTCGCGCCTGACAAAGTGGGTGCACTACTCAGACAAACTGGAGCATTCTATACAGAAGGCGTCCTGAATAGCCGAGTAGCTCATGCGGGAATATGATATACGTACACCGTACGCTTGTGACCAAAGAGAAGTCCTGGGAGGCAGCGACTACTTTCTTGCCCTCCATGGTCGGAAATTTTGCGCTGCAAATCAGATGGTGGTCTGGGGGCACAATTCGGCATTTGTGGACTTTGTGATCTACGGACTACTAGCAGGGGCCGCTGGTGTGCAACGAATCGGTTATCATATCACGTCGGCAGTTTCGATTCCCACAGTCCCCATGTGCGTGCACATATGATTAATTTATTTTTGCTGACTAGCCCCCACCCGTCCAGAAAGCGCACAGCTGCCTCTGCCAGATGTTTCGCAAAGAAGACGTGCTTTGGTGTTTACTTAGGATGAAGCAAACAATGACAGCACACTGTGCTCTGAAATTCCGTGTACGTCCGTATTTTCGGCTAAATCGATATTCATGAGTTTATGGCGCGGAACTGTACGAATGCTTTAGAGCGTCCCCAGTTAGCACTGGTGCAGAAAGTCTGCAGAATNNNNGCAGAATGTCTGCACCCAGTCCGCACCCGGGTGCGGAAATTTCCGCACAATATCTGCACGCTTCGGCACCCGGGTGCGGAAATTTCCGCACAATAACTGCACACTTCTGCACCTGGGTGCAAATTCTGTGCGGAAATTAAACAAATTTCTGCACACAGTCCGCACTTATCTAAAGTCGTCCGACGTCAGTAACTTCTTAAACACTACGCTCCCATGCCGTGATAACCAATGTGCCCTCACAAAATTGCTCAACGTATTACCTTCCCGGATATCAATAAGCGCCTTCAAGTACGAATGTTTTTATGAATGAATTTAAAATAACGCAGCGGGAAATCATTTGTCACTCTTGGTGGCTCTCTGCAGGCGTTTCCGAACTTTCTGCCGTTCGGTCTCCAGCCAGCGATGGACGATTTCCTTTATTTGTCGCAGATTTGTGTTAGGAAACTTCTCAATTGAGTCGTCTGTAATGAAGAACATAGTTATTGAGTTTCATCCAGACACTGATTCAACTAGCTAAATATAACATAACCATTAAATACTTACAAACAAGTCCTAGAGCCAGTCTGGTTGACCCGAAGGCTTCTTTTTCATTTATCCCGTGCCAATAGATTAGTACGGCTAGCCCTGGTGCCAACGTCCGTGTAAGCACGTTGGTAACTTACACTCGTACATCGCCAGCCTCCTGTAAGAGCCACCTTTTCACCTTTGCGAAATCAGTAATCGTAAATAAAAGTAATACCAGTTGTGTATAGCGTGGACCATTTCTTAGATGTTCTTCATACTTTCGGAGATCGTCCATGGATGACAGCGGAAGAGGGGGCTCGTCGAGTGTCTGAGAACTGCCTGTGGGTACTAACGCGTCCAGCTTCATATTCAGTGCCTGGAGTAACTAATAAATCCTCTCTAAATTCTCTATAAAATAGTTTAATCAAAACATGGTAATATACTCACTGAGAATGAGGTTGGCCATATCCGGGGAAATTATGCTGGTCTTTGTATTTGGAGAGTTAGTTCTAGAAAGTAAAGTACATGGAATGTTAAGAAAACCTGAGGATCGGGGTCGAACTGCGTTGTTCTGGATCACCCACGGCGAGAAGTGTTGTATATGTGGAACTGCTGATGAATTCTAGATGGTGGTAATGAAATAAAACGTACGTCGGGGGATCCCCAGAGACGGGTGGCGCGTCTTGAACAGGAATGATGCTACTATTCGAAGTAGACGGATTGGTGCATCTAAGGACGAGGAATTAACAAACTGAAAAGGTGGTAGGTGCGGGAGAACCTAGTCTTTTTGGAGTTGGTGGGCTTATGACTATGTTCGCGAACAAAGTGGTGTCACCACTGGAATCACAATCCGACCCGTCTGTAAAATTTTCGCACTAAACCAAGACACACTATGCATGTAATCTGGTGGGAAACCAGCAATCATGAAATATAACTCCTTGGTCGGACTTGGACCTATATGGTGCTTCTCTTGCTTTCTGGTCCGGAAATCAGAGTCACAACGCAAGGGAACTGTCAACGAGGGAAAAGTCACGCGTATGCCAATGTGCACACCCTTTTGTGTACAATAATCACAGCCATAATATCCTGTATGTCCCTTCACTTGCTTCAGAAGGGCCCTAGCAGGACTGTCGCAAATAATGCACTGAAGACAGATGGTGTGAATATTTTAAAACTCGGAGACACCGTTCGCCAAGACGTGCGTCAACTCAGCGAGCGTGTCAGACATCAGCTGACGAGCATCGTTGGGTTTTTGTTTACCACAGTATAGTCCAACGACGAAAGCCTGACCGAGAAAGGGTGAAATTTTTCGGAAGAGTATAGGCCACACTTGAGTACGCGAGTTGTTATAGGCCCGAATACCGTCAACGTTCATTTAAATGTCGATATTTGTAGCCCTAGTGTGAATCTCACGGAGCTGTTGCAGCAAACCTGCTTTCAACCCAAGGTGGATGTACATTCCACCGGCCTTCTGTCGCACGCAGCAACAACGGGGATTTTTCATTACAGTCCGTGGACGAAAATAGTACCTGAGTTTGTCCAACACAACGGCTAAACCGGATAATGGTAGATTCAGCCTTCGCGCCATCCGACGAACAGCCGTTAAAATACTTCTACCTGGTTGTGAATGGTTTAAAAAGGATACTGATGAAAAGCGGTATGAGTGTAAGCAGAAAATACGGGCTGATACCTTCGACGACTTGCAGTGGGCTACCCTGTGGTAAAGAACTGGAACCGAAATGTTCTCCAGGGGCCGCAGTGGTGAATGTCTTTCTGGTTCCAAGGTCCTGATAACAGGGATCGGCAAAACCGCCGGCGAACATCGTAGTAATACACAGCCTAGTTTATCCCCTGGGACGGTCAAATGCGGCATATCTAGAACCTATCATCTGATTACTCATGAATCGTACCCTCAGATAGTCGATTAAAGGCATTACGGACGCATTCATCAGTCGGGCAACGAAAACAGCCACTTGCCGCCTGTCGTACTTTCCTATACAGCGTTGTTCTTGAACAGCCCTTACGAGCAACACGAAAAAATTTCGGGCGCATTGACGATTACCTGGAATGAAAAATCATTTTACGGTTTCGTTCACGTAAACACACCAGGAATAAAGCATATGAAAGAACAACAAAACTCACTCTCAGCCGTACGTGAGAACAAGCAGAACGCAGAGCTTCCCGCGAGCAATGGCGCCGCACACTAAAACAAAACCACTTAAATGGGTCGACAGTTTGCATTTCGTAGGTACTAGGAAATGCAGGGCATTGTGGTTTTTTATTACTGTAAGACAAATAAAGAAGCTTTGATGCCTATTAAACGTCTCAATCTTCCGCGGCTTAAAAGCCAAAAATCAGTGCAGAAGTTCTGCACAGATTCCGCACAGGTTCTGCACCCAGGAGAGGACGTGTGCTAACTGGATCATTTGGAGAAAAGAGGTGATGATGATTTAAGGTGAGGCATACAGGAGCCATTAGCTCTAGGTTGTTCGTCCGTTATTGCATACGCAGTGCTGCATTTTATGTATTCACGGGAGCCATGCAGGATTTAGCAAGTTTCATAAACTATTATAGCTGCAGAACCACCCGCATCGTTCGTCTATAGTAAGCGATATCTCATTTCATTAGGCACTGATTTCTAATTGAAGGTAATTGTTGACCTTAAAGATTTACCCAGGATTGAATAAGAAGTGTGTAGAGAGACGCATTAGACGAAGAAACTATGAAACTATGGAAATCATGGAAACATCGCGGTTTCCCAGGTTGCCGAATACCGAGCATCGTCAAAACATTGTGATCCTTGTCAAACTCATATTGCGCGTCTGCGTTGCCCATTCTGAATTGCAACTCGGTTCCCTACTGCTCTTCAGTGGATGATAGAACTCCAAAAATTCGAGTTAAGGACGAACGATTTCTGGGCAGATAGCTGGGGAGGCATTGTTTAAATTAACTGATTGCACTCACCACTCGTTAGCGTCGACCGGCGGTATGGCGCGGTCCGGTACTCTGATTACGCCTTCTGGCTATCACAGATCATGGCGGGCTTTGATTGCCGCAAAGTACAGTGGTGTGCACGTCTCTCAAAAGGCGTATATTCCCGGTGAAACGGACGCTGACCCCGCTTTCCTTGAGAAGTTCCCTCCCACCACTGTTCCCGTTTTCGAGGGCCAGGATGGCACTTGTCTATTTGATGCAAACGCTATCGCATATTATTTGGGAACTGATCAGTTGCGAGGTAAGATGGGTATTTCAAAACTACCGTCACAGGTGGACCGTTGGAACATTTGGTCACACAGTGGGTGAATTTTGCCGATAATGCCATCTTGCCACCAGTGGCCACTTGGGTCTATCCCTGCCTTGGTGTGACGCAGTACAACAAACAAAACACAGAGAAAGCCAAATCTAACTTGCATGCCGTCCTATCATATTTGAACAACTTTTTGCGCACCGTGTAGGTGGATTTTTTGTACTAATTTCTCTCAGGACCTTCTTGGTGGGTGACCGTATCTCCCAAGCCGATATCACGGTGTTCACTACTTTGCATCCTCTGTTTACTCACGTACTTGACGAAGCTGGTCGTAAGCCGTATCCCCATGTTGTCCGGTGGTACACAACCATAGCCAACCAGCCTCATGTGTCAGAAGTGGTTGGTAAGACTGAGTTATGTGTGAAAGAGGCACAGTTCGATGCGAAGAAGTACGCGGAGTTGCACCCCAAGGTAATTTAAATTAACATTTGAGGAAGCTGTAGGATGCCAAACCAAAGGCGAAACCAGAGGCGAAAAAGCCAGCGCAAGAGAATCCGCAAAAGCCCAAGCAGGAGTTGGCGCATGAACCTGAGGATGAAGAGGATACTCCAAAACCTCCCAGCAAAAACCCTTTCGCCAGCTTACCAGATGGAAATTTCGATATTGACGCCTTCAAAAGGACGTATTCAAACGAAGATATCGAAAAAGTGGCCATTCCTTATTTCTGGAACCACTTCGACCCTGAGACCCACTCAATATGGTTTTGCGAGTATCGCTACCCCGAGGAACTGGGGATGATTTTTATGTCGTGCAATCTCATCGGGGGTATGTTGCAGCGACTTGAGAAGTGAGTATATGACTGGTTGAATTTTTTAAGTCGAACTCCATGTATTCGTTTGTACACGGGTTCGGGGAACATGTGTACATGAAATTCCAGGGCCCTTTTACTCCCGTGTTCGCCCATTCAGCCTCGGGTCAGCTGCTGACATTCATGTGTAATCGGAAACCATCATCAAAGACCTCAACGTCAATGTTGACAGTCTTAGGATGAATAGAAGATAGTGCGTGAAGCAGGGGACCTAGTGGTGGCCTGTCACAAGCGTTGTGAGGTGTATACACCCCCAAGTGCCTAGTTAGACAGTCTGGGAAGAAACTGACGGCACGAACGTCATTGACGGCTAGGTGCAGAATAGGTCACGGGTACCCCATCTCGGAAGGCGTACTGCACCAACAACACAAACTTATCGTAATCTCACTCCTCTTTGCCAAGTCATACGTTGGCCACCTCGCGGTTAAGGCCATTCTGAAGGAGGCACAGACAACAACAGTCATCTCGGCAGACGGTGTTTTGGCATGGTAGCCCATGACCGAGCCACCACGGTTGATGGTGCTGGATGTTATCTGCGATGTATCTGCTACACAACCAACTATCCGTTTTTTTTGATCGCGAATTTGTTGATGCCGTCAGGCACCAGAAACGCCCCTGGGAAATCGGCGGTCAAAAACCCAAGGACGCCTCGCCATATGTCTGCACTAGCCATGTTTTGCAGCTTTTCCTGTAGTCTGGTACACGCCTATCTTGGGACCCAATGATATGCTTCTGACCTCATAAGTGGCGCAAATTAACAAGCCTAGCCCCACTCCTTGAGATTCGTGTAGGACTTCATCAGGTACACTTCTGTCAGGAAATGTAACTACCGAGGCATGTGAAATTCCTCACAACCCCCAGTGATTTTTCTTGGACTGTAAGGTGTGTGTTCAGCGACCACATTCTGAAGCCAGAGTTTGAATTCTGAAGTTACAAGGCGCATGCCGAAAAATGGTAGGATGGTGGTCATTATATTCAAGAGCTTTTGGGGCGACTTGGAGGTGAAAAATGTGGGCGATGTCTGTGCTCCAGATCGATACGGTTCTCACCAACAGCAATTTGAACACCGGAGTTTTGAAGACCTTACAACATTCGGTTCGTTATTTCAGCATTGACGAAGTTGAACAAGAATGGAGAGGGTGGACATTCTTGTCTGACTATTTATAGAGCTCATCATACACTCACGCCTAGAAGTATGTGAATAGAGGGACCGGATTGTGTTCACGTACTTCTGGGGCATACCTTGTTGAGCAAATGTGGTTAACATCACTCACCGATCAACAGAATCGAACGCACCCTTGATATCAAGGAATATCAAGATTGTGGTTCCAACACCTGACGGAGTGTGAAGATGTGGTCAATGCAACCTCTACCCCGTCGAAATCCCGCTTGATTCTCAGGAGTCAAGGATTCACGTGCCGCCGCAAGACGCTGAAGAATCAGGGGCGCCAAATGTTCTGTTTTGCTAGATATCGGGGAGCCATTTTGGTCCCTCAATCTCGCTGACAAGTGGCTTCCAAGGACCAGTCAAACTAATCAATTGGAGTGGCCTGTGAATGTTTCTAGCATTTTTCGCATCTTCCATCTCTTCGACATTTCGAGTCCACCAAGCCTCGCGGTCCACGCACGCTCACACTCACTTTTACCCTGGGTCCAGTTGTGGTTGAGGCGGGCCTCAACAAAGATCTGTTTCTATCAGAGATCAAACGTTTGGATAAGGTTGGCTGGGATTTGTCCCTAACGGAATTTCCAGCTGTGAGGCCGTTAATATCCGACATAGGACAGGCGATGTGGTCAATTTGGTTTCGGAATTGTTACGTTGATGGTCACCACATGAAGCGATTTCCGCTGTTTAGGATGTTGGTACTACAGAAGAGTAGTCTGAAGCAGATGATTTCCGCTGTCCGTATCCGTATCCAACCGAGGATGACTACCCAGTTGGGCCTCAGCAGCGCTTAGTCTACACACCCCGGCGTTATGTCATCAACAACCACGACGCTGTCTGAGCCTCAAGCGCGTCGTAAAATAGCACCCAGAGCGTCGCAGAAACAGTCTGGCAGATTCAGAACTAGTTCATTAAGACTCAAGCAAACAATAAACAGGGTTCGATGGACCTCACTTTATATAGATTCCCTTACGTTGCCAAACCAACCACACTGAGGGCATGCAGTCGGGTTGAAGATGTGCAATGGGAAAATGTGTTGTGCCTGACAAACATGAGGTTCATGGGGTGTTGACTTCCGAATGGGATCTTCAGTAAAAGAAGTAAACCCCGTCTTTTGCGCCTGGTCCGTGCGCAACAACGGTGACGTGGCATCGTTGCACAGCACGGACGACAAAATAACTAGGTGGGATGTCGCACTGGCCGCTAAGTACTTACCGGTACGCAAGTGATGCGGCGGTTGAGCACCGTTATCCTGTTCTGTTTACGAACACGGTTCAGTGGTGGTAACGTTCTCGTATCGATAAGACCGGCAGCAATGAACTTTGATGTTTCATACAACTGTCCGTTACGCTGAAGCCATACGTTGAAAAAGGATTTGACGGGGCTACCATTAACGGCAACACGCCTGGAATACATACTGGCGCTTGACCGCCAAGACGGGTATGAGTCTAGAGTTAGTCCACCGTAAACAACCGAGGGGTTGGAGATAGCTCAATGGCCAAGGCGCTAGGTTGATGACCGGATGATTGGTATTTCTAACTTAACTCTGGCTCTTTGATTGCTTTTGTCTAGACTTTCAATCTGACAGTATCTCATTCCTTGTGTTTCCTAGTTTCATGGTGGCTATGCTTCGAAACTATGCCCCACCTGAGCGTTCTTTTGTGCGTTTACACTTAGTGAAACAGTGCGGTGGAAACCGCTGACATTGGTTAACCACCGTTTCTTCCACTGGAGCTTGAGACGCCTTAGTGGTTAGAGCGCGAAAGGTCTGTGCATGTCGACTTCTGTCAAGGCTTGGGTGACCTGGTGGTATCTCAGCCCTCGTTGGCATGGCAGCTAGGCACAGAAAGGGTAGTACATTTGAACAATTTCCGTCTTCCACCCTCTCCTGCCCAAGTTTGAATACTTTCTCCACAGGTCCCAGCACTGGTATTGACCTTTTCGTTCGCCGTGCTTTACACTCAGCTACATTTTCCGCACGTCCGACTTTAGTAACAACCCTGAGCACCTCGAAGTCTGTTTCCAAACCCCAAAAGTCACTCTACTTAGCCGCCTTCAAGGCTCGCACACTGATGCAAGCAGGTCAACAGGTGGCTTCTGCTCGTACACTCTATTCTCTTTACGTTGATGTATGTTGTAGTTCAGAAACAAGGATGCAGGACGCAGGTACTGTGATCGAACTAACGAGCAGAAGCTACTCTGGTTGATTGGATAACCGTTGGTAGTCGCCTTCGTGCGGTTCGTTTGCCAACATCCGTTGGAGAATCTAGATAAACTGAGGTTCATCACATCTAATTCATTGTGTCTGCTTAGGCCCCAATTGACTGTAGCTCTGAATCTGCCAAGGACAGTTTCTGTGACGCTCTAGGTGCCCTTTTACAGCAGGCCAAAAGCTCAGATGTGATTGCTGGTGTCATGAATGCCCAGGTAGGTTGACTAAGCCCTGCTGAGGCCCGATTGGGTGATCGTCTTGGATTGGATAAGATACGCACGAACAACGGAGACCGGTTACTTCAGACGTGTACCGATCACAGACTGTTCATTTGCAGTAGGAATTTCCGGAACAGCGGAAAAAGCTTGACAACGTGGAAACGAGTCGGAGGCGGTCCAACAATGACTTGGCAACGAAGTGTGAAAGCCATTACCAGCAAACTCAACCGCGCTGGTCATTGCTGTCTCCCTGGATGGGGACCCCAAAACGGGTCGCATCAGTGATTGGAGACATTGTGAGACATGGCCCAGTCGCGCTCTCAATGGCGCTCATGCATCCAAGCTATTGCCTTCAATGCATTAGCTCCCTTCCCAATTTTCCCACTTAACAGTCCACTGACTGCTGTATGTACGCATCAATCTATCAGCTTCCACCTCTAATGCGCAGCTACCTACCCCATCTCCCAGAATCGTCGGTGAATGAAACTGGCAGCTACAACCATTGTACGACAAGTATGCGGTCCTTACAACTGCCAATGATGATGATCAGTAATGAGGGTCGATCATCGCCTGCCGCTCCTCTCGGACCACCACTGTAGACTCCGACCATGCACTTGTACACTGCTGCTCTTCATTGCGCCTTTCAAGTGTACGCAAATCGCGCACACCTCGCTTAGCCATTGATAAGCTAGTGGACCCAGAAATCAAACGAAATTATCAGAACCGGCTCCTCAAACGTCTGCCAGATGGTACGATGTCGGATTTCAACGGCCACTGGGAAAAGATAACCAAAATGCTACTCTCAGCCGGAACGTCTGTTTGTGGTACAACCCGTCCAACCGCACCCAAACATTGGATCTCTGGTAGGACCACATCTTTGCTGGAGCCCCGGCGACAAATCCCTCCTGGACGCACTCCACTCAGCTCACTTCGGCGCCAGGTGAAACTGGGTACCCATGCAGACCGAGAAGCTTGGTTGACCCGAAAGGCTCAAGAAATGGAAGATGCAAATAATGCTGGAAACGTGCGCAAGCTGTTTCACTTGCTTCGTTCGATAGGGCCTCGGGAACCCCTTGTCAGCGAAATAATCAAGGACCAAAATGGCTCCATGATATGCAGCAAAGCAGAACGTTCGAACCACTGGGCGCAGTACTTCGAGCAGCGATTCAGCTGGCCACCTACCTTCAGTCCAGCATTCTGGCTTCCAACAGAAAGGTGGACCGTGAATACGGAGCCAGAAGTGTCCGAGTGTATTTCCCTACTCAAACATCATCGTGCTGCTGGTCCCGATGACCTTCTACCTGCTCTTTTAAAGAATGGTGTTGGACCTCCCAGCCACTACCTGTCTAACCTATTTGTGTCCATCTGGGAGAAAGAGACCATCCCAGACTAGGACAACTGGAGTAAATCGATAGTAGTGCCTTTGAAAAGACACTTTGAAAAAAGGGTACTCGCAGTGAATGTAGTAACCACAGAGGTGTTAGTTTTACTCCTGTTGTTACAAGGCTCCTGGCGTAACTGATTCTTCATCCGACACAAAATGTCCACTCTCTCTATTCTTGTTTAACATCATCGTTGATGCAGTAATGGGACGAACGCTGAAAGGTCTTCAAAACCCCGGTATTCAAATTGCTGCTGGTGAGGCTTGTTGATCTGGAGTACGCAGATGATATTGTTCTCATCTTTGAAGGTCAAAGCGAAGCACAAGCCCTGTTGAGTAAACTGACAACCATCATACCATCTTTGGCATGCGCTTTGCGCCCTCAGGTGCAAAATCAGAACGTATTAACTCTGGTGGAAGTGTGTCTGATCATGTTAGTGCGAGAATTTCAAAGGCTGGAATCACATTTGCTAATTTGCGTCACTTGTGGCGTCAACAAGGCATATCACTTGCTCTTAAGGGTCGCTGTACCAGGCTACAGTAAAGGCTGTGTTGTTGTGTGGGTGTGAGACGTGGCCTCTGCGGACAGATGACGTGAGGCGTCTTCAGGCATTTGACCACCTCAGAAGCGTGGCTGGTTTTTGATGGCGTCAGCGTGTTAGTAACAAGGTGGTTAGAAAACGGGTATTTGGTTGTGCAGTGGGTACATCGCGGGGAACATCCAGCACCATCAACTGCAGTGGCTCGGCCATGTGCTACGCATGCCGAAACACCGTCTACTGAGACGAGTGTTCTCCGTGCCTCCAGGATGGCGCAAACCGCGAGATAGACAACGCATGATTTGACAGAAAGGCGTGAAAGAGTTCACGAGGAGTTTAGGATTTGTTGGTGTTGTACAGCTTCAAGTCTGTGGTCCTCGTGACCCCATGTGTGCTCGGCTGCAGACTTTACAAGGAATGGTGATGATATGTCCTTAAGAAAAATGATTAGGAATAAAGTGTACACACGTTTTAGCGGTATTAAGGTAAATATACCTTGGTATAATATCGCCATCGGTGGGACAAACCCAGTGTTTTTGATAACTTCACTCAAAAACAGCTCGGTCGACAATGACAGGCAAACAAGCTAGGCAGTCCGGCTCGGAAATGGCAGCATGCGCGCCGGTGGAATCGCTAGCGTGCCATCTCCTACGAAGTTTCCCACCACTTGCAAGCTTGGTCACGTCGGCCTCAGCGACGGAAGCGCGACAATCTCACAGCACTCAGTGTGACAGTAACCGTTCTGGTTGCCAAGTCAACGCCTGTCTCCCCGCCAACCCTTCACCAACAATTTCTTGGTGGAGAGAAGGTGTCTCCATCGGTAGACAGTAGTTGAGCACGTAAAAAATCACGGCTGTAGCACCCTTTCGGTTCCTTACTGCCATGCAACCCTAAGGAAGCACGAGGGCTGGGTTTCTGTCAGGTTGCTCAACCCTAGACAGGAGAAGCTGAGATCTAGAGGTCGGGTTCGAACCACATGCCTTCCGGTCCGTAGGTTCGCGCTCTAAACGCAGCCGTCTCACTTCTGTTGGGCACTCATTCAAGTTCATTCTTAAGTTTTATAGAATCACAATGGGATGCGAAGTCTTGACGTATGACATAACACTTTGTGGGTGTAAAACGCATATCAAAACATGCGACCACCTTCGATATTTTAAAGTGCATTGCGCGGATAACTAATCAAACAACTAAACGATGTCCGCGACTTCAGCTTTTAGTTTGGAGTGTGCACCGCATGATAATGTCGATAAAAATTAAACAACAGCAGGCAGCCGTGCTTCTAGCCTGACGAGGTATGGGAATTCAAGACAATCCCTTTCTGGCCAAGAATATTTGAAAGAGTCGATGATTACTGCGGTTGTTGATCGGTGGTACGTATGTTGGGGCTCGACGTAAAGATATGGTGATTCACCTTTTACCAGATCAAAATTCTGCTTCGTGCTGTCGAACCTGTGACTCACTTGCTAAACGCGGGGGTCGCAGTATGGGCGAAGCCAGTAGCCTTGGTGTGCCGTGCTAACCACGGCACTCCAAGGTTTCGATGAGATGGTGATTTCAAATAAATATGAAACAGTTGTAGAGTGTTCATCGGTTTCCATCATATATTGGCTTACTTACCGAACTAAATTTCGGCAAGAAAAATCCCAAAATTTTCAGACTATCCACATGTAGGAAACCTGCAACTTCGTGTTTGTAGCTGAAAGAAAGGAATAGTACTTTATTTTTTGGGGTAAAAGTCGACATTAGCCACAGTTAAGCGAAAGATTTATCAAGCATTTTTGCTGAATGCTCAGCTACCGGCACGTGTTGACACTCGCGTTGGATATCTCAGGGTAGATATTTCCGTTGAAAAAGCCAGTGGCGCAAGCTGTCGCCTGGGTTGATATACTTTGGGACACCGACTTGTTCTGGTGTTGAAACCGGTGGATTCTAATCGTTGAAATATGTGATCCCTGCTTATGCTGACGCTTCGCATCTGGGTTTTAATGCTACTGAAGTCAGCTGTGGAGCTAATTTTAATGCGGCAACTCCATGAAGAGAAACCTCTGTTTCTGCGAGCTGTAGCAATCTGGAACTACGATGGGTTGTGTTGTGTGATGGTCCCAGATTCAGCAACGGAGTTGATTAATAGGCCCAGTACACGTTAACGTGTGAAGATATATACCAGTCACTTTCATTACTTCGAACACCACGAATCACCGACCTGTGAAAAGTAAGCCTATACTAGCCTGGTTGGTGCCGATAAGCAGCTTCCACTGGTGAATCCTCAACAGATATGAAGTTCTGCAGTGCATGCATTCAATGATATAGACGAGCGTATATCTATCCAAGTAACTCAGGACCAGCAGGGTGCACATTATTTAGAGTTGTGAGCAATATTCTTCGTCCCTTTTCGGGTGAACTTGACGCTATATTCTTTGAAGTACTTCTCTTGGGGCATCATATCTCGAAATGTCAATAATTCTGGGACCGGGCAGTTTCGCTCTCTCGGAAGCACCCATGGGACTAAGTCTGCCAACGCATTTGACTGTGCCTTTGAAGTAGAAGAAAACGCCTGCTGTTGATGAGCCGTGCATCGTCGTCTTTAGCAGTTGATGTGATGTGAAAGTGTGTAACGTGCAGTCCTTTGTTGAGATCCTGCTGCTTGTCTCAGTTCCACTTGGTGGGTATTCACATCGCAGTATTATTCAGGATGGAGGTGCTACGGTTGTGTCCTGTGCTTATGTCAATTGTTTTCGGCCTGTTTTCATTCCCTTCAATCGTCGTCGAGTTCATGTTCGTCAAGTCGTTCATACGGGATAGATTACAGGAAGTTGATACTGTGCTGTTGGTGCGTTGTGTTTTCTTGTTTGACGCTTCAGTACTACCTATTTTTTTAAATGACGGCCTTGTAGCTTCAGTCCGCTCACCAATATTGCTCGTTTGCACTCTCAACTTCCACTTAGATGTTCCATCCAACCCAGCGCCTCGGTATATTTTTGATATACCGGCACCATCCCCTTCTTTTCTATATAAGGTTCCGACGTGAACACTCACTGTATGGCGCTGAAGCTGTTGACGTATTTCATGACCGTCGGATACTCTGTTCGGTGAAGTTGGCCGGATGTTTCCATACATTATTCAGTCCTGCGTTTAGTTGGTATCCTGAGCATCCTAGAGATACCTTATCATCGTCGTAAACGGCAACATACTGGTAGTAAAAGCTGCTTCACATTTCGGTCTTCACCAGCCTTCTGTCTGATTCGCTTGCATGTGCACCCAGTCTGTTTTCTTGCGCTTCCAGTAGTTGCTATAAAGGCGTGCCGTTATGCCCTAATGCATTGCAGATGTAAAGTTGTCTGAACATTTCAGTCCTTCGTTGTTCGACGTTTGAACAGTAGTTTCCAATTTAGGATGGTCTACAGGATTGGGTGTTGGACGATTAGGCCCAAGCTTTATATCTACTCCCAATGTCCTGTCACTTTTAGTGTCACAAAGACGTACGCACTCAATGCGAGGCCTGGACATGGTGTTCGTTGTACTTGTTACATCAAGCTCGGTCTTCGGTGATTTTCTAGAACGAGAAGACATCAAACTAGCACTCCCCGATTGAATATGGTGACAGATGTGTTATCCGTAGCGCTATGATGTGTCTGTTTCATGTAAGTACCGGTTGTAATTTTTGAATCTGGGGTGAAATTTGAGGATTCACTGAAATACGAATGGGGAAGTGTCAGTCAACATTCCGTCCACACACTCCGCCGGAGTGTAGCAGAGTGGCTGATAAAGGCTTGGTGGCGAAATGCCGTGAAACAATCACCGGAATCTCTTGATGACCCAGCATCATTAGGTGTTAGGGGGATTTTTCCGCATCTGACTATCACTTACTGTTGAGTTGATTCAAGTACTGTCCTTCTAAGTCGATTGATTTCCAGTAGAATTGGTCACTCTCCAAACATTGATCGTTAGATTCTGTTCACAAGAGAAAAAATCATCAATGGTCCTAATGATATTAGTCTTTCTTTATGTAGAATGCATGGGTAACCTTGTTAACCTAATTTTGCGATTGTTTCCTATATTCTCCACCTCGGCAGAATGAACAAGTACGCCTTCGGTAGCATGTGCATTTTCGGTGAAGACAAGAACAGCACAATCAGCGGCGTGTGGTTTTGGCGGGGCACAGGCCTAGCTTTCGAACTGCACCCTGATTTGCAGGTGGATTATGAATCGTATACTTGGCGCAAACTGGACCCGGCGGCCGATGAAACGAAGGCGCTCGTTCACGATTATTTCTTGCAGGAATTCAAGGACAAGCCGTTCAACCAGGGGAAAATCTTCAAGTGATAGCCTCGATGTTAAATAGATTCTTGGATTAATTTTGAAGTTACCTCTATCTATGGTATGGACTAGGGTGTGGAATCTTAATCTGTGGCCGTGTCTTTCAGCTTCGTAAACTTAGGTAGTTCCAATCAGTTTGAGTGGAGCGGCGTTTCAGCCACGAAAGACCGTACTCACTGTGATTCTGCGTTGGCCACTGATGGAATCTCAGGATCAGTGGGACCAAAATACTGTTTACTCGTGCGTGCTTTCACGATCGACGGATACCCACTATATGTAGGGCCGGAAAATTCCCTCACCCAGGGACGGGACTACTTCGCTATCTGACCCTCGAACTAGGCTGTGTTGACTGTTACTTTCTTGGAATTTTGATGGTTTTTGAAGGGCTCCTACCGGTTAGACTCACTCCAATTTCATTGATTGGTCAGTACATAGTTGTGCCTAAAACTGCAGTGCCACGTTCGTGCTTAACGAACGTCCAGCGCTAATGCCCTTCCAGTGTCTAGCTTCTATCTTACCCGAAGGAAGCACGAGGGCTGAAATAATACCAGGTTTCTCAAGCCTAGACAAGAGCAGTCGAGGCGCAGAGGTTGAGTTCCAACCACGGACCTCCTGGTCTGTAAATACTCGCTTTAATCACAGTCATCCCGAACCCAAACTTAGAACAGTACAAAACCACAAGATTGTTAGTCAACGGACACTAATGAAATAAGTGTAAGCTACAAAAGCAAACGTGTTCAGAATAGGTCTCATTTGAAGCGATTTTCTTATTCGAGCCTTTTCAATCCCAACAGCTGCCGAATGTCTCCAGGACCCTTACCCCGCTTTCGCGAGTTCTGCAAATCCTGGTCAAAGTACCCAGGTTGACCGTCATCCCTCCCCCGAGGTTCTCTATTGGCACATGATTTGTCACATTCGAGTCAGAAAAATTTGTCGACACTTAAAAGTAGAAATACGTAGCAGAAGGACTTTAGGCGAATCGAACTGATATAGAACAACCGTTATCTAAGCGAAGTATACTCACGCGCAAGCCACACTGGTGTTGACGAAAGGCAGTGGGATTTCTCATGTTAATCGCTTAGCGAAGACCGTCCCGACAACACTCATTTACAACGGTCAAAATAGGACGAGGTTAGCGGAAACTCAGGAGCCACGCTTACCCGAACATATGGCGCGGTAAGTGATTAGATGCATCCTGACGATGGTAACAAGGGAGAAATCTGAACCTGTTCAAGAGATTGTCTGGTTTATGAAAATGATATCTGTATTCGTCTAAAATTGGGGGGCCCTGCAATATCCCAGATAAGATGAATACGAACATTGTAGGTAGCAAGGTGAGGAATGTTGGGTTATTCGCGGTAATGAAAACAAAATCTGATGTAGATTGTGCCTCCAGCCACTTCCAATGAGATGGTGCAAGTGGTTAGATCGCGAATTTACTGACCAGAAGGTCCGTGGTTTGAACCCGACCTCTGCCTCTCGACTTCTCCTGTCTAGTCTTGGGCAATCTGGTAGTATCCCAGCCCTCGTGCAACCTTCGGGTGGCACGGCAGCTAGGCACTGAAAGGCATCGTCAATAGAGCTCGTGCCTCTGAGGGAAAGGAGAATGGGGAAGTCAAACTGCAAATGTAGATGGGAACGCCCAATGAGGAGTCGCGATGCCCAGGGAATTGTAACTGTTGCATGTCGCGACTTTGATTAAACGCCGGCGGACTTCGAGGTTCCGAAGGCATGCGGGCTGAGAGAGGGCTTAGGAGAACGAAGGGGCTTGAATACTAAGATCGTCCTCTGAAGAGAGTTGCCATGCTTGTCGATCGAGGCCTCAGGAAAAGTATCAGTCATTTTAAGCACTGCAATTCAGTCCTATATGTACTTGTCAGGTGGAGCTCCGCACGAAAACCGCTTTACGACTCGCATCTAGGCGCTAATTTGGTCAAGAGGCTTAACCCGCACTTGATTGGTCATATAGGTGGGCCGTTTACCGGTCCAGCGTCCAGGCTAGCTCTGATTGCCCGAGGGCGTGGACCCAACAGCTAATCGTGTGTCCGTTGAATGGCGCGTCCGGAATGCGTCGGAATTTCCGGGAAATCGCCGCATTCACCTTAAGTCCGACACGCTGATCATTTGTTTCTGACCTGGTTCTGGGTCCCTAATACACTTGTGGATCCTTGTTTTTCTGCTGAAAAGGCTGGCTTGGGAGAACAAGACCGGAAACTGAGCGAGGACATTACCGTTATTACATAAGAGAAGTTGAAAGGGAGACGGATGTTGACCCCACCTAATCAAACCATTAACGCATCGAGGGTCAAATGCTTTGGCAAGATAGGTAAAGCAACTGCTCCTCTCCGTCCCGCTTACGGAATATACCCTCAGAAACAGTTTTCTTGGTTGAACATGGTATAGACTGAATTGAGCTAAGGTTAACACGGAACAGAAGCGCAAAGAGAAAAGCGCTACTTGGCGCGGGTAAGCCGCTACTCAGGCATAGGAAAGGAGAGGGTTTTCAGTGGCCGACCCTTTCGGAGCTTGATCTTTGGAGGACGGCATTACCCACTGGCAATACTTGATGGACGGCGGACGACGTATTTGTCACATAACTTATCTAACATTACTTCTGTATGTTAGCGTGGTCATTTTGCTCACTCATGTTCATTATCCACATGTCGGATTGGTCAGCTCAAAGTCAATTCTAAAATCTGCTGTTGCGTATGGGGCATCTTGACGAGGTCCGTCGCATTGTAGTCAATGTGAGAGACTTTCAGCTAGGACAATACAGCACGACGTCAATTAAAGCTGCCTTAGAGGATATTGAGAGAAAGGACACGAAATGGTCCTAACTGAGTGACGGTACTTCTGGTAGAGCATTAGCCATTGAAATAGTCTTTGAAGGGCCTATTGTCTTTACAGGGAGGCTAGTAGCACGAAACAAAGGGATCGTAGTGATCTCAATGTCCAGCTTATTTCTTGCATCATTAAATGACAAACTGGCACATTTGTGCACTATATCTCAGTGATTCGTATTTCTGTAACTATATCAGGGCTGGGACGCACTCATTTTGGCTTCGGGAAATCTTGGTTTGGAGGGGGCGGATGTGCACTGAAATGAGGAAGGGCCTTGACAATATGTCACTCACTGCCTGTGGTCACGTAGCTCTTCGTCTGAAAATTACCTAGCAGCAAAACTGTAGGGGATTATGGTGATACCATATCTTCAGACGTCCCATAGTATCCAACCCAAAAAATGACTGTCCGAGGTGAATCCACGAGAAATCAGCTGCCGAGTTAACCGGTAATATTATTTTGACAAACTGCAACGGTGAATGTGCGTTTGAAGCTACAAATTAATTAGTAAAACTGCTGTGGGAGCAAAAGACAAGCAAGAACAGTGAAGTCAAAAGCGTAGGAATGAATTCGCAGATCATTCTACAAATTTATGACTGACAGTGATGTACAGTGAGAATTCTGTGTTAGCTGAGAAGGAAATCCAAGGGGAAATTGTAGCGATTTGAAATGTGTCACACGGGACGCCGGACCACATGGTACCACATGAGTCGCAGTGAGTGATATTCCTGGGTGGTACCTGTCCAATAAGCGAACGACTGTCATGCATGTAGCTTGGGGTCGAACCGGATAGGGCAATCATGGTACTCTACGGCACTCGATAGGTTAATGGTCACATTATGGCCTAACAACTGCTGTTGTGTGGTGTTCGTTGTGACTTAACATTAATCATACCCACAGAACAGCCAGGTAGCAAATTTAGTTGGAAGTTTGGAAAACGCTACAAACTATCTCCTTTGGGACCTGCGTAGCCTCACAAATCGATAACTTCGATGTTTCGATGTTTTGTTGTCGGACGTTAAAGGAACATAACCGTCTTACGACACTGTTTACAGCAGCAACTCCCTCTGGAGTGACCATTTATGAACTCTTCAGTGAGTGAACTCAGTGAGGAAGTTACTAAAGATTTTATGTAGTTTAAATTTTCCTCCGGCTTGCGTGATTATGTCCCTGGTTCGACAAATTCGGAGGCTGCCGCTGTTGTTGGAAAACATACCCAGCCAACACAGATTATGGTCAGCAAAAACAAGACAACAGACACCTTTTTGAGGGGCCACAGTGCATCAAGTTATGGTGTGTAAGATTTCAGTAGTAACATTTTCAGCAGCACAGTGCTAGTCAAAGGTAACCTCTCGACATTTTTGTCAGATTCAAACGTATTAAGATATTTTATCCCTATCTGGACAGTAAATTGTAGAGATCAGTCAGAAGTGGTCTGTTCTAGCAGAGCGTTGATTAGTGAACTGAGTTTCAGCGAGCAAAACAATGGTCTGTCCTCTGACATCTGTTAGGTGGTTGGATTGAAAAGCCTATCAATTTCATCTCTGTTGGTTGTAGTTTGCGATGTCAAACAGTGCACTGTGCCTAAGAGTAATGCGAGTGGCATTCTTACACCCATGCAGTTTGGGTAGTTAGGATTTCTGAGAAACAGGACAGTTCCGTGTGTTTTTTTGCTTTAGATGAAATTTATGATGTAGGTGGCACAGTGGAGAATCGATTTGTCTTCCACGTCCTTATTGAAGAAAGAAACTCCTCAGGTTTTCACAGTGGGACGGCGGATAACTTCGAGAGGCCTGACGGAATAATGAGTCTTGATTCCCCAAACGTAAATCGAAGCCCATCAGATTTATCACAGTAGGTAACTGAAAAAAAAAACAGTTCCGTTCACTCCCTTTCGTTGTCCGAAAGGAGCTAGATAATGATGCCTTTTATGGCCTACATTTCTGATTTTGAAAATGAATTACATGAAATTAATCCAACCTCACTCAGAGGTGTTTCCGAACGGGCTAACTCAACCTATGACCAAATTCACCTTACGGATTTTAAAAAAATCATCACGTAATTTTTTTCGCCATAATTGGGCTTGTTAAGCCAAGTCTCTGGTACGTTTCTGTACCTTGACGAACCAGCCTACTGAAATACATTTGTTATCCTTTGGAATGGCTACTCAGAAGGATCAGATGGGAGTAGTATCGTCTGTTAGTGGTCTTCACTGGGAGAGACGTGGTCGGAGACTCATCGGGAGGGAAATCTCCACTGGGAAGCCTGGTTTTGAAACTACAGAATTCTATAAAATTTCCCTTTAGGTAGGAAATGACATGCATTACCCGGATAGGTTATTACATTTGGCTAATTCCTTTTCAACTTATTTTCGGGTTCAATTACCAAATTCAATGGAGACCACTCTCACGAAAATACATGTCGGAAGAGAGTCTTTGATGGTTTCGATGAATTATTTGCTTTTCAGACCCCATGCAGAAGAGAACGCATTTTTGCTACTTTTTGAGGAGGAACTCACTGTGAGGTAGCATATGGTTTGTATGCTTCCAGTCTATCAGATGGAGCACAAGTTCGACACTATCTCCTGCTGTAGGTGGTTTCACTTCTGACTCTCACAATACAGATATGAATACAAAGACTATCTCTTGGTGGAAATTTAGACCTTACCTACACTGCTCTGTCACTGCTCAAGGACGATCGTCGGAGCTGAGAGGCAGTATAGAGTTTTTTATTTTGCTTGAGATATCACTCCCCAGAAATGCCAATGTGACTGGCTCTTTTGAGCCGACAAAACTGCTTCACGGGTAGCGGGGGATGCCGTTCTTGACAATCGACTGCCAGCTGTGAATAGACGACAATAAATTATATCCTAGAGAATCGGTAGCCATCTCTTCGTCTCCATTACTCGGCTTTAGATCTCAGCGTTACGCTTTGTAGATAATGGGTTGACTGGTACCATGCTGAAGTGGTACGGATGTCAATTATACAGATTTAACGATAAGATCTTAGTAGCACCCCCCGACGCGTGGTCATATCACGGAAGGTCACATAAGTTTCCCTGATGGTTCTCACTATCAGTCCAGAAAAAAGAAACAAATCGACATATGTTCATAGAAAACCCTACCAAGCCTTGCTCTCATTCCCCGTTCATCAGTGACAGAAGCCGGTGCACAAACCACTTGTACTGTAGTTTACCCAAATGAACACAGATAAACACTGCAGTGCCTGCACTGTAATTTGCAGATACTATACGGGTGATATCTGCATTTATGTTTCTTTCATGGTGGGTTCTAACTTTGACAGGTACATTTAGTACACTTCTGGAATCTGATATATCTTGTGATTGTTTACCATTTTGTTTACCGCTTTTCGCTTACCCGTGAACACAGTGGTTTGATAATCCTCAGCTCATGCAGCTGCGGTGCTTTGGAACATTGTCGGATAATTATCGATGAGTGACTCCGCACAGTGAGCTTTTACTACTGGTTTAGCATCTGAATCACTTGGTCTCTCACATTCCTGTATCATTAATTTTGTCAAAATACTTGGCAAACTTGAGTGGCAACGTAGTATGTGTTTCCGTGATGGCCCATCTATCACCACAGTACGCACCAGTTTGCCTCGGTGGAGAAACAGCCTTTTACTCAGCCTTAGTTCACAGCCTGTTTTGGCTTCTAAACTGAGAAACACATGTTTCGCATTCCTTAATTTGGCGTAAAATCCACAGATGTCTGCTCTCTCCTGGTGTAAAAACATGGTATAGCGTATCCAACCTTCTCGGTGGCCATACACTTCTTTTGTTGCCGATTCCGACCCGACGAATTCAGGATCGCTTGGATTATCATTCAAGTCATCTCGTTCGCATTGCTTTTGCTTGCCCTTTATCAAGAAATTAGTAGTATTTGGCTGGGGACTTTCTAGTTCGCCGTTTCTGAACCATTCCATTGTGTCTTCTGCGTTTGGTCGTAATGGAGAAAATCCTAGAACGGAGGAACTGATTATTGGGAACCTGCTGCGCTTGGGTGAGACCGTTAGACTTTCCTCAGATGCCCACTTTTCCCATTCACTTTTCTGCAGTTTACTTCCTTGCGCAAAGCTTTGTTTATCAGTGTAGTTCCTGTGAACCATTGGTTCTTCGTTTGGATACCGACTAAGGTCCATGGGAGAACCACAACGATCAAACAGCTCTGGGTCCCAGTTCTCTCCGAAAGCCGATGAGACATCTCCGTCCATAGCCATATCATCCCTAGCTTTTGCTTGTGACAAATATCTTACCCAAGATGGATCCGCTTTGCCTGTCTTCTGGTCGGTGCCAACGGTTTTGATCCCATCACCACCGCTACGGACAGCGATGGAGCCAGATGTTTGCTGTTGAGGAGCTACATCCTTATCTCCGTGCGCTTGGATAAATTTTGCTTGTTCCTGAGGAACATCCTGTCTTATTCTGAGTGAACTGTCAGGATAAGATGGGTCATTTGGATTCTGAATGTCAGATCGAAGTCGTTCACGATGTCTAATATTCGTGTTTTTGTTCCCAAGTTCCGAAACACTTGCCATTTGTTTTGCTTTGGTTTGACGCTGTTTGTCGTTGGTTTGCAAGCAATTCCCCATGAGTTATAACTGGTCACGTTGACCGGTGACGGTAACCGAATGGGGTGTTGAAATCATACGTGAACGCAAGCCGGACCCAGCACACTGCCTTGCTAGCACACACTAGGTTTGAACGATACTGATCGATCCATTGTCCAAAAGTCACGTGACGGTTTCAGTCAATCAACTGCAACTTGTTTTACCGTATTTGAGAAAATGTGACCGTCCCAACCGACTGAGATGCCGATAATAGCAGTGCTGAATTCATTTTTGTTATGTCACCTCGATTGGTGATGAAATGTATACAATCAAACTGCCCAGCTCAGTGAACAAACCAACAAGGTTTTTGTACACTTGAGCAAAAAGTGACCAGATACATCCTTCAGTTGATGGGGCGTATGACATGAACCAGATGACGGTTGTAACATCATCTCACTCGTCCGAACTCGCACTCTCTGTTCTTCTGCTGGAATATTGTATCGAAACAACTAATGGTGAGCAAACTGCAACACGTGCTGTTCTATTGACCAAAATGGGAAGAAGGCACGGTGTTGCACTTGAACGATTGTCAAATCGAAACAGTAAAAAAGAATGAAATAATCGTTTGGATGTAGAGCCGTTTTGGTGCGGCGCATGAGGGCCGCTCAAGCCTAGGTAGGAGCATTCGAGGTGCAGGTGTTGGGTTCGAACCATAGATCTTCTGTTAGTAATTTCGCGCACTGACAGCTGGGTTATGTCTGCACTACATATCTGTTAGTCTACATGTTCTTACACAGAACTTGATGGCACATTACTCAGTGTACTACCTCAATGACAATTTCTGTGTTTCGCAAGAAAATTCATTCATATCTGAAAGCACTATTGGATTGCATACTGCCCATGTACCCGTGGCCAATCTGGCAAATGTTAGTGACCGCAGAGCTGAAAAAGTTATGGATTGAAGTGAAGAATATGATAGCCCATTTCTAAAGAAATCACACTAATGGAAAGCACTTCCAAGAAGAATCCCACTTATATTTCTACTATGGGAGCCTATTCCAATAGTCACTTTCTGAGGTGACCCGCCTTAGAAAGAAGCTATAATATCTCAGTCCTCAAACACTCAGCTACCATTATCTGTCAGCGTGGATTCCCCAGTTTTGAAGCTATCCGTGGTTGGTTCGGTATGAACACAACGGGAGGTCTCGTTCTAGTGTGACTGATCATTGTGGTGGAGCATAGCGGGTAAATCTGCTACCTGTGTAACGGCAGATACTACCGATGAGGCATGCAAGCAGTATGTTGTCTTCTTGTAACTGCGCTTCGCGTCTAATGGAAGGTGGGGTTTATTGAGGAACCTGTGAAGCTGCTTTGCAGCGTGATAGTCAATGAATATCGACGAAAGTTCAAGAAGACGCGTATGTTCAGTTTTTAAAAATAAGGTGCACATGAGATGTTTACTTTCCTATCCAGTAGTTTGTAACAGTTACTTTGTGTTTGCTAATGAACAACTTCGGGACGAAGGGCTTTCTTCCTTACACCTGGATCCTCCTGGTGGGATTTCTGTGGGGAATGGTAAATTCGGCGGTGACCAATAAGGTACGCTGCTATGGGCTCTCCTGGGGAGTGAACTATCGAGGAGTATCTATAGAAGTAATCAAATTATTGACGCTCCATCATTTAATTTATGATACCGACGGAATCAAGTAGCAGTAGAACGTGGCATATGAGGTCATATTTTTCAAACACACACACTTGTTCCTTCGGGGAAACGACTTCAAAGAGTCAGCGGAAAGTGCTGTCCTCCGAAAACTGACATTATTGAGGACGGAGACCAGGTGAGGGGAATATAAGAGACTTAAAATAATTGCCGACGCGACATCCAGCAATATGCTCTTCAGGTTTTGATAGTGTTTGATGGTGCAGTTAGTATAAGCAAACACTGAGTCAGACTGTCTCCCGCCTGGAGACATAGCTCAACTTCAACTTAACTTCTTGTCCTGCAACTCAAATTGCACCGAAATTCAAATTCACATTGAAACAATCTGTAATTTTGTAAACTATTGATCGTGTTAATTCTCTCCAATTCATGTCAGATTTACAGATAGCTAGTGTGTATTTTTTGTTTATCGCGTTAGACAGTTGCACTTAATGTATTGATTTTCCGGTTGGAAAGCTACAGACAACACACAACCGTGCTGATTCACAAGCACTAGTTGGAACCTGCGTTATACAGCCGAAGCACGTCAGAATCATGAATCAAATATTTTCACAAGTTGCATTGGCTTGATTGAACACCGGAGATATGAAAGAAAGAAAGAAACAATGGTCCTAGTGGAGACATGAAAGCTAACCGAAATATTATGTGACCGGAAAGTAGCAAACAATGATAAGGTCTTTTCCGTGTTTTTACGAGGCAAATGTTTCTCGGATGAAGGCTGTTAGAGTTAATCTGAGCTTTTCATTCCTAGTTATCTTCTAACAAAAGGGCCCCATAAGGGACAGAGGCCTTAAGTATAATTTAAGCGATTCGGAGAATCTCACCTATGGGATTCCTCGACGAGCGAAAAAGCGACCGATGGAAGGTTACAAAAAAGTCTGTTTAGCCACCGATTATAAATACAGCTATTGTTGGGTGAACAACAGAAGTCTGCTCAATTCGGCGAACGTAAACACTGAACCAATAATCTAACTTTCGGTATGGCGGCTGACCAGCTTGTTGGGTCTAGTGGGACGTCATCCTTCCACTCAAAGAGGTGGCAGGGGATTTTCACTCCTCTTCTGTGGCCGGTATTTTTTTTGGTGGTGGGGGGAGGTACGTTTATCACTCAGAACCGTAACCCACCAGGTTCTCCTAGTTTTAAGCGAGATCCGATTAATTGTAGGCCAATTTATCGCTCACGTATTTCCGAAAGGGCTTATTCTGGAGGAGTTCATAACAAAATGGGATGTGTACAAAGGGTAGAAGAAACTGGCCTCGTGAGGTATTTTTTATCGTGGTGTTATCGTTGGCTCACAAATGTAACTCGTCACAGAAATACTCGTGTGTCTCTTATATTGTTAGGGAAACAAGGCTATGAATTTCTGGATGGATGAGTAAGGGAGCTAAATCATTGCCCGCAGAAGTCTGTTTGGCAGAAAAATGTGATATGAAGATTTGCAATAGATCCGTTCGACCGGCAGCGCACCGATGCAGGCAGCTGCCTCAAAGCCCCCTATAAGAGGATGACGTCANGAAAGTGCTGTCCTCCGAAAACTGACATCTATCGAGGACGAGACCAGGTGAGGGGAATATAAGAGACTAATGTTAAAATCATTGCCTACACGACATCCAGCAATATGCTCTTCAGGTTTTGATAGTGTTTGATGGTGCAGTTAGTATAAGCAAACACTGAGTCAGACTGTCTCCCGCCTGGAGACATAGCTCAACTTCAACTTAACTTCTTGTCCTGCAACTCAAATTGCACCGAAATTCAAATTCACATTGAAACAATCTGTAATTTTGTAAACTATTGATCGTGTTAATTCTCTCCAATTCATGTCAGATTTACAGATAGCTAGTGTGTATTTTTTGTTTATCGCGTTAGACAGTTGCACTTAATGTATTGATTTTCCGGTTGGAAAGCTACAGACAACACACAACCGTGCTGATTCACAAGCACTAGTTGGAACCTGCGTTATACAGCCGAAGCACGTCAGAATCATGAATCAAATATTTTCACAAGTTGCATTGGCTTGATTGAACACCGGAGATATGAAAGAAAGAAAGAAACAATGGTCCTAGTGGAGACATGAAAGCTAACCGAAATATTATGTGACCGGAAAGTAGCAAACAATGATAAGGTCTTTTCCGTGTTTTTACGAGGCAAATGTTTCTCGGATGAAGGCTGTTAGAGTTAATCTGAGCTTTTCATTCCTAGTTATCTTCTAACAAAAGGGCCCCATAAGGGACAGAGGCCTTAAGTATAATTTAAGCGATTCGGAGAATCTCACCTATGGGATTCCTCGACGAGCGAAAAAGCGACCGATGGAAGGTTACAAAAAAGTCTGTTTAGCCACCGATTATAAATACAGCTATTGTTGGGTGAACAACAGAAGTCTGCTCAATTCGGCGAACGTAAACACTGAACCAATAATCTAACTTTCGGTATGGCGGCTGACCAGCTTGTTGGGTCTAGTGGGACGTCATCCTTCCACTCAAAGAGGTGGCAGGGGATTTTCACTCCTCTTCTGTGGCCGGTATTTTTTTTGGTGGTGGGGGGAGGTACGTTTATCACTCAGAACCGTAACCCACCAGGTTCTCCTAGTTTTAAGCGAGATCCGATTAATTGTAGGCCAATTTATCGCTCACGTATTTCCGAAAGGGCTTATTCTGGAGGAGTTCATAACAAAATGGGATGTGTACAAAGGGTAGAAGAAACTGGCCTCGTGAGGTATTTTTTATCGTGGTGTTATCGTTGGCTCACAAATGTAACTCGTCACAGAAATACTCGTGTGTCTCTTATATTGTTAGGGAAACAAGGCTATGAATTTCTGGATGGATGAGTAAGGGAGCTAAATCATTGCCCGCAGAAGTCTGTTGGGCAGAAAAATGTGATATGAAGATTTGCAATAGATCCGTTCGACCGGCAGCGCACCGATGCAGGCAGCTGCCTCAAAGCACCCTATAAGAGGATGACGTCACATTCCTAAAGTAGCCGCTGTCCCCCCCCCCCCCCTAGGAGAGAAGTACTTACATTCCAGACTTATCAGCACCAGCTAAGATAGCTTAATCCAGTTCAAACATTAATTAGAAACAACGGAACTCGAAAAGCGGGTTCCAACGCCGATTCGAAATTTTTATTCGGTATCTTTGACAAATTCCCTGCTTGTCGTGTTTCACCTACATAGCGGTGTGTTCTACATTCAATCTTTTTGTAGACTGCTCCACTGTGTGTTAGACATGAAGTACAACATACGATCTGATGCTGCGAATTTCGTTGGTTCAGGGTTACTCAATAAAGCTGGTTAGTGAACCATACAGTGATTTCATACCGAGCTGT